GTGGCATGCCGTGTCCTAATATACTTGAATAAAAACATCGCAACTCCCAAGATAGGGACTTTAACTTAAAAAAAAAATAAAATATTATACTTCATTTTAATATGAAAAATTTTCAAATGTGCAAATTATACAAAACAGGCAACTTCAGTTTTAAAAAACACTATTTTTTATAAACATAAATTAAAGTGTAATAAGATTTTATTAATTGCATATCTTTGGCTAATCAAAGTAAGATATACTACAATCAGAAAATTTACAAGACATGATTCTTCAACAATAATTAGATTTATAAAAATGTTTAGAAATATTATTACAAAAAGTTTGATAAAAGATGATGAAAAAATAAGTAATGATAGAATTATTGTCGAAATTGATGAATCTAAGTTCAAATCTCAAGAAAATTACTGAGTTCTAGAATTTGTTGAGTGAACAAAACTAAGAAAATGTTTCTTTAAAATAGTTAAAGATCATAATAAAAATATATTGCAAAGATTAATTAAAACACATATGAAACCAAATTCAACTATATATACTAATTCTTGGAAATTATATACAGAATTAGAAAAGATAAGATTTAAACACAAAAGAATAAACCATAAAAGACCAAATAAAAACCTAGCTTTAAAAAGAATTCATACTAATCATATAGAAGGAACCTGATCAGATATAAAGCAAAATATGTTAAAAAAAAACATGACTAAACACAAACTAAAATTGTATTTAAAGGAATTTATGTGATGAAGAAATCATGAAAATAATCTTTGGGAGGGCTTGTTAGAATCAATTAAAAATTATAAAATCCCATAATTTTTTATTTAAAGAAATAATATATAAATACTTCTAATTCTTTTTTTTTATATTAATAAATTTAAATCATAACTAACTGGTCAGAGAAATTCAAGAACTTTGAACATGTGATAGACTGGATCAAGGTCACAAATCCAGACAATTCAAAACATAAACTAAATGAATACAGATGTGTTGTAATTAATTACAAATTGTATTATTAAGTCAAAATACAGAAACCAGATATCATGTTCTTCATCGATATTAAGAACTTTTATCTCTTACAAAATTATACTTGGCATTGTTGTAAAAATGGAAATACTTATTATATTCAAACAAGTGATAAAGTAAAAAAGTTGCTTTATTGAATGATTCATCCTAAATATAAGATGATCGATCATATTAATTGTAATAAATGTGATAATAGAGAAAGTAATTTACATGAAACAACTAAAAGAGAAAATGCATTAAACAGAAAATTACAAAGTTCAAATACAATAGGATTTAATAGAGTATTTTTTTCTAAATCTAATAATTGTTGAATATTTACATGAAAAGAAAATAATAAATATAAAACTAAATCTTTTCTTATTACAAAGAACAGAACTAGTGAATAAGCAAAACAACAAGTAATTCAATTTAAATTAGAACATGATAAGAAAACTGGTAACTGAAATAGTTACTCTGTAATATATTAATTACATTTTTTATATAATCTTATTAGAATCAGTTAAAGAGTAGTAGAATAAAATTTTATCAATTTTTTTTATTATATAAAAAATATATAAATAAAAGGAGTGATGGTGAAGAAAAAAAACAGAAAAAAAAAGCAAACATGACTGTGCAAAACATGAATAAAATTCTTTCACATTTTATTAAACAAGGTGAAATTAAAATTAAAAATAGTTTTTTTGTTGAATCAGAAATAAAAAAAGCATCTGAAGAACTTAGTTTAGATATTGAATTTATTTCTAAAATAAATAAATATAAAGTTTCAACATCAAAAAAAAAGATTAAAGAAATGTTAAAACACTTTAAGTAATATACTTAAATCTATTTTCATAAACAGTATAATTTTTATCCTTTCTATTTTTAACAAACTGGATTTTTTTAATATTGTTATAAAAAATACTAAATGATATATTTTCTTCTTCGATCTTAAAATAAGCAACATTATTCTTATAATAAACAAATTTTTCACACATTTTATCATTAGCTTAACATTTTACTTTTGAATCAATATTTATATATTCATTATTTTTTAAAAAAATAAACAGCATAATAAATATTATTTTCTTTTTTAATTTTATCAATTCCAACTTCAATTTTTATATTATTTTCATCAAGAAAATAGGCACCACTTCCGATAGTAGTAAAAGAAAATGTTTTTTGAAATGTCACTATTAATAAAAATATAAATATTTTTTTTTTTAAAAAAAAAACAAAAAAATAAATATTATTACTTGTTAAATTTGTTTAAAAGCATTGAGAAAGTCTGCTATTTGTTATTTTTTTTATTTACTATTTATAATACTTTATTATAGTATATACAAAATAATTACTCAATTAGGTTATCAATTTATAAATATATTTCGATAATAAAATATTAAATTTATTTAATAAATAAATAAGTAATAAATAATAATTGTTTTACTTCATTTAAATTCAATATGTAAAAAAAAATATTGAACTTAAATGAAGAAAAACAATGTCAAGACATATACTCAGTAATAGTGATGATAATGACTAAAATAAATACTTCATTACATTCTATAAGAATCTAAAAAATTAATCATTCAATTAAGATTTTCATTAAATAGAATCTTCTTTATTTCTACTCTAACTTATTCTTTAATCAATTCAAGGTTCATGTTATAAACCTTGTAAACATAAACCAAGAAACAAAAATAAAAAATAAAAAGACAAAAAGTAAAATTTGATAAATTAAAAGATGTTTTTGTAGCATATTAATAGAGTTTTCAAGAGAACAAATTTTGTTCTTATATAATTCAGTAAATTCACTTGTTAGTCTTTTTGACAAGTAAGTTGCATCTAAATAATAAAATATATTTAATAAATTAAGTTTTAAAATAAATAATTTATAAATCATACTATCAGATAATACAACAACTTTCTCAGTAACAGTTTCAAATTGTTTGACAACTGGTATAAAGTTCATTTTGTTATAATTGTTGTTGAAATAAGTTTGTTGTTGTTAATAAAGAAATTGTAAATTTGTTTTGAAATTTGTGTAAAAATATTTGCAGTGATCTTGTAAAGAAATAAAGATGTTTAAATACCTGATGCTTGGGATTTATTATAAGAAGAAGGTAAATTATTGTAAATCTTTTATTGGTTGTTGAGAATTTCGCTAGATGAAGTTTGAAATAAAGACATGTTTGTAACAAAAAAAAATTTGAATAGGTGTAAATTTGTAAGTGAAGTATAAACAATCAAAAAGAAATTTAGATTAAAGTTTAAAGATAACAATAGGGAAATAAGAATCAATTTAGAAATATTCGATTAGCATTCATAGATTCCAAATAAGGATAATCGAAAGGCTAAAAAAATTTTCACAGAACAATCAAATTTGAAAATCATTTCTAAAGATAGATTTATTAAATAAGAGTTTATCCAGATTAGTTTATCTGGAAAAATATTTAAATGATGCAAATTTTCTTTTTACCACTAATATAAGTAAAAAATAAAAGCAATATGATGCTATGTTACATCTGCATGCAAATTTTGCCAAGAAAAAAAACTTAAATGCATTAATAAAAGACCTTATTCTCAATGCATCAAATGAAACATTACTTGTATACCATTTGATAAAAAAAAGAAAAGAGGTCCACCACTAAAATTGAAAGTAGAATACTTGAAAATCTGTAAAATTTTAAACAAATAAGGACTATTTTGTCAATCTATGCTTATAAATATTTATAATTTTATTTACTGTTTATTATTTAATATGTACATATCTATGTTTCAAATAAATTATTGGTGTTTTAATATGCATGGTCTTTGTTTGAAAGTTCTGAAATTCTTGTATAAAGTTTAAGATTTTTGATGTTTCAGCCTCATCAAAACAGTAAATTACTATAAAAAATGCCTGCAATACACCAACCAAAAAGATCAAAAAAAATTTTTAAAAAATTAACAAAGAAACAATACAACAAAATGCATCAAAACCTTGCTATTGAAGAAAGTCTTGGTTTTAAATACCTTGTTCTCTTTAAAGAAGAGTATCGAGAAAAAGCAGCTGAAGAATTGGGAGCAAATCCTACAGTGCATAAAGTAGTAAATGTTGCTTTACAAGCCAAAAAATAGCTTAAAATATATTAAGTTAAAGCAACTTGAGTTGATTTATTAGATGGAGAAAAAACAATTGATCTGGATTTTTATATAGGATGAGAGTTATATTAATGCTCTCAGCCCCATACAAAAGAAAATGGATGGTTAATTGTAAAAGGTTTACTATTTTTTATATCAGAACATTTTGATAATTATCAATTCATATGATGTAGTCTTTCTCAATCGACAAGTTATAGTTTGTATAAAAATAAATTCAGTTATGTAAATATAATATCAATTTTAACAAACAAATAATAAATTCTGTATAAATATGCTTTACTTTTTTTTTAACAAAACATCAAACTAAATATTTTTATAGCAAAAGTATATTTTTGTCTTTTTATTTTTATAAGTAAAAATAAAATATTTATTTATTCACTAATAAAATTGTTAACAAATAGATATAGACTATGTGAAAATAAGACATAATAGAATAAATTTTATGTTTTTTAAAAAAAATAATATTATTAAATTCATGTTTTTAAATAATAATGATGAATTACTTGGTTATCTTAAAAATAAATATTCTATTATATATGTTTTAAAAAATGATGGAATTAAATATTATAAAGATGTAAAAAATATAATCTTATTTGATAAAGTAAAAATGGTTAAAATTTATTACCTTCTGCATGAATTAATATTTGAAATGAAATTGGTAAATGTTTAACTATCTGTTTTATTTACTTGTATTTCAAAGACTAATTTATTATATTTATTTTTAGAAATATCTTTTGATATTTCACTTATTTTTTGTTTGATTCATTTGTTTCACTTATATATTTTTTTAATCAATATTTTAAAAGGATTATTCTCATCCATTTTTTGAAAGCTTTAGGGAAAATATATTGAAATGACATTTTTATATATTGTTTTTTTTTGTTTTTTTTACTTCATTTCTCCCTTTATTTATATATTTTTAAATAAGAAAAAAAATACATTTTTTTTCTTTTTTTTTATTAATTATGTATAAATATGTTTAATAAACATTAAATTAAATAAAATAAGCTTTAAAATAATACAAAATTTGAAAGATGCTTTAAAATATGAACAAAAAAGAAAACAATTAGTATATTTAAAAAATAAACTTAAGAAATAACATAAAGAATTGATAAAAAAAATAAAAAAAGACAATCAAAATCATAAAAACTAAATAAACAAAAAGAATAAAAAACATAAACATATGAAAGAAATCAAAAAAAAATCAGAACCTAAGTTATCATTGAAACAAATTTGAAAATTTTTTATTTGTTCTTGTTTTTATTGTTTTTTTATCTTTTGTATTTATAATAAGAATATAGGAGGAACTATTGCTTCAATTGTTATAAATATCATTTTCAGATTTAAAGTTTAATATTTTATTTTATAAATAAATAATAATATATAATTAATTCAATATGTATAATTTTTTTAGCTAGCATATTTTTTTATACTTCAATTATTTTTATTGAATAAATATTCATTAATAAACTGTTAATAGATAAAATATTTAAATATGTCTTATTTCATTATCTAGCATATAATCAAAACAATAATAGTAATAGCAACCTAATATTTCAAAAGCATGAGCTCAAAAAACTTAAATATATTGAACAAAAGTATCAGATAAGAGAAGAAAAAGTGGTTCAACTCCAAAATAGAAAGAGTAAAAATTTTAAGAATATATTTTTTATTAATCTTACTAAGTAGTTATTAATATGAACAAAATTAAAAGAAAAAAATACAAAAAAAAACAAGTAATATTCAGCTGTCACATTTCTTAATAAAGTTTTTTTAAAACTATTTTACGACTATCTATAACTTAATTTTCTTTAAATAGCCAATCTAACCAATCTACTGAAATTTTTTAACTATTAAAGTTTAATTTCTTGAACAAAAAAAAAATTATTATTATCAAAACAATAAGTTACCAATAAGGAATAAGTATTCTTGGACCTCCAAATGAATGCATAATCGAATTAAATAGATTACCATTTTATATGAAAATCAAAACTTTGCCTCAACCAAACCATGCTCTTGTTTTTTTTATGAACAATAAAGAAAAAATCGAAATCCCTGAAGGAATCAAATGTAAAGACAAAACAAACAATATACTAATTCAAAAATGTTAAGAACAAAATATTTTCTGATCATTCATTTTTATAATTATGAACTATATTACAATGACAAAAAAATCTGTACTTTAATTAGACTAAACAATAGATATATGATCTATAATGAATCAAAAATTCAAAATAATAATAATAATAAAGAAAACAAAATAATTGTATATTATTTAAATAGACAACTTAATAATTAATTTTTTATTATTTTATTTTTTTTTATTTTTATATTTTTTGTTTTGTATTTGTTTTGTTTGTTTTTTTTTTTTAAAAAAAAAAAACAGTATTAAAAAAAAAATAAACAAAAATAAAACTTTTTATTTGTTAAAATAAATTCTTTGATGATAAATTTAAACAAGATTCATTTTTTTTATCAATGGCTAAAATTTGCATGCAGTATATTATAAATATTAATTTTGATTAATTTATATAATATGTATATTAAATATCATATTTCTTAATTTGTACTTATAGATTTCTTTAATGTTCTACCTATAAATATATTAACAATCTTTGAATGCTAAAACTCAAAAAAAAAAAAAACATCGAAGTAAATTATTTTTTTTTTTATATATAAATTTTTTTGTAATAAAAAAAAACAAAAATAACATTTTATTTTAGATGCTTGGATTAAATTTTCCTGGACCTGATAGTAAAGTTCTTAGCTTTAATGAAATAAATTTCTCAATAAAGATTGAAACTTTGCCTCAACTGAACTATGCTCATGTTTTCTTTATGAACAATAAAGAAGAAATTGATATTTTTAAGAGAATTGAATATAAAGACAAAACAAACAATATATCAAATTCTCAAATGTATAGCACAGAATATTTTTTAATAAGTCTTCCAAACAAATATAAATTTTATTATAATGAAAATAAAATATATGCTTTAATCCTAGAACTCAAACATTATAAAATTTGTCAAACTTTTTAATATAAAATAAATTATAGAGACAATATTTTTGTTTTTTTTTATTTTTTGTAAAAATTTATATTTTATTGTTTTTTTTTATAAATATATAAAAAAAAAATATATCTTAATAAACATATTTTAAAAAAAAACTTAAAAAAAGCTTAGTGATGACTATGAGTTCATTTGTTGTGGTCTGGTTTTCTACAAATGTTACACTTAAGTTTTTTCATAGTATCATGTTTGCACTTATGAGTACTAATACTAATATGAGTATACTTGTTATAACTATATATATAAATGTCTGCAGTACAGCACATGAAGCAAGATTTTTTTTGATGTATGGAAAGCTTAGCATAACCCAAACTTAAAAAAAATATCAACACAATAACAAAAATTTTCTTATTCATAATCTATAACAAAAAAAATTAATAATAAAAATTTTAACAATATATGTATAAAAAAATAAATAAAATATAATTACTTTTTTTACTATTTTTTTTTTTTAAAAAAAAAAAACATGAACAATGCATATTTATATAAAAGTTTAATATATGCAAATATATTACTAATCTGTCTAAATTAATTAACTATAAATAATAAAACTTTTATAAAGTGCATTTTTAAAATGATGCAAAATTTAGGTTCTTTAACTTATTGTAATATCTTTATTATAATAATGTAAGCTTTATTTATTTTGTCTGTTTTATTTTTATTCACTTCACTTACTAAATTTATTTAAATAGGTTTTTTCAAGAAAATCATGTTGATGAACTAAAAAAAAAACTTGAAAGATATAAAAAAGAAAATAAAAAACTAAAAGAAAAACTTGAAAAAACTCAAACCCATTATGATAACTTGTTAAAAGAATCTCAAAATAAAAAAAAAAGAATCCCAAACCCAATATAATAATTTATTAAAAGAATCTCAAAATTGTTATGATAACTTATTAAAAGAATTTCAAAATGAAAGAAAAAACTTCCAAAATCAATATAATAATTTGCTAAAAGAATCTCAAAAAGAAAGAAAAGAATTAAGAAAAAATTATTTTTTGTATTCTGTGATTTCTATTTGGTTTATTTTATTTGTATTTGAATGCTTTGGAATTAATAATTGGATCTATGATAACTTTAACTATGAATTTGTCAAAGACACTGCCAGAGGAATTTGGAAAAATATTAATAAATTTTGTTCAGCCTTTGTTATGAGATTTATGAATTCAAATCATAATTAAGTATTGAAACTTTTATATTAAATTAAAAGATTTAATTTCTATTATGTGATATTTAAATAAAATATATTTTATTTATACATATAAAATAATAATATAAATAAAATTTTTACAATATAATATAAATAAATATTTTATTTATATACAATAAAGTAAAAAATATACTGCATATAAAGTATTTTTACAGTACAATTTAAATAAAATTTTTATTTATATTGTATTGTAAAAATATACATATAGTTAAATAAGCCATATATAATATATTTTTATAGTATAATCAGGGTTGGTCAAATTACTAGTCAACCAAAAATTTGTTGGTCGAACTGGTCTAGTCAAATTGGTCAAATGGTCTGGTCAAATTGGTCAAATGGTCTGGTCAAATTGGTCAAATGGTCTAGCCTATTAAATAAATAATTTTAATATACGAATAAATAAACAAATATATTTATATACTTTATATATTATTTGATCAATTTGACCAATTTGACCAATACTAAACCCTTTGACCAACTGGTCAAATTGGTCAAATTAGTCTGGTCAAGCTTGACCATTGACTGGTCCATGCCAACTCTGAGTATAATATAAATAAAATTTTTTTATTTATACTGCATTGTAAAAAATATATGCATATAGTTAAATAAACTATATACAATACAGTATAAATAAAATTTTTTATTTATATTATATTGTAAAAATACACAATTAAATCAAATTATGATATAAATTAATTAAAGTATATGCATATATTGTATTGTAAAAAATATGCACATGTAGTTAAATATGTATTAGATTTAATATTGTTCTAACTATAAAAATTTCTTTTATAAAGAATGCTAATTTGTAAATTATATATTAGCAAATAATAAATATTTTTTGTTTTTTTTGATGAGTAAGTATTTTATTTTCATGGAAATGTTTATGATTTTCTTACATTATGTTAGTATGTTTGTGAATAAAATGTTTTTTTTATAAAATAATAATATTTTGTTTCTTTAAATAATGACAACTGCCACCAACTCTGCATCAAAATTAAACAGAGTACAAGCTCTGATAAGTAATTTGAGGAAAGAAAATACAGACTTAAAAAGTGCAAATAAAGATTTAAAAAAAGACAATGCCCAACTAAATGAAAATAATATAAAATTAATTGATAAAGATAATAAGCTATGTGAAGAAAATAAAAAATTAAATACTTCATCCAATTCTAATAATAAAATAATAAGTGAAGCAAATCAAAAAGCGAATGTTTCATTAGAGAATTTTGGTGTTAAGTTTGAGAGAATAAAGACTTTAAGAAATAAAATGAATAAAATTGTGACAGTCAATGAAGAATTAAAAGGAGTAATGATGGCATAATTGTGTAATCATATGATTATTTTTTATAAATACATTAGATTTTTTTTTTCTTTTTTTTCTTTTTAATAATTAAAAAAAAATATTAATGTATGTTTTTTTATTTATTTTTTATTTTTATTATTAATTTTAATATTTTGTTCTTTTTAATAATAAAGATATCATAAACTATAAATAAGCTTGTGTTTTATCAATAAAAGAAAAAAAAGAAAATGCTTGATGTATGTATTAAATTAATTAATCTAATTTGCTTAATATCTCAATAATAACTAATATTGTTACAGAATTGCAGCCTTCTTGATACAATAAAACCAAGTAACAAGGTCATCTGGTACAGTGATTAACTATTGCAAATATATACAGAGTGAAAGTGTAGTAGTTTACTTTACTACATAGCAGTAAGCAAATAGTTTGAGATAATAATAGTATATAGATTAACTTTTTATTAATAACACATATAATGACAACCTTGCCTGTAGAAATTACCCTAAAGGATGAATATCTTACTTTATAATTAAAAGGTTATTATATCTGGGTTGAAGTGTAGAAACTTAGAATTGGCAAGAAAGAAGAAAAGGTATCCTTTATATATCTTTTTACCTAGTGGAGATAGTGAAGGTTTGAATGACATCTCTTGATACTATACTTGGGATAGTAGGAATTATGCAAAGACAAGTGAAGTTTGTACAGGGATAGTTGAGACAATGTTTATGTATATTTGTCATTTGTACTTGAAACACTTAGGGCATGTGTCAAGATACTTGAGTCTGTGCAAGGACAGTTAGGGATTGTATAGGGACACTTGAAATTGTGCAAGGACATCTGAGGATTGTGTTGGGATACTTGGAATTGTGCAGGAATATTTGAGAATTATGAAAGGGATATTTGGGATTCTTGTACTGTGTTATTTGGCACAGTAAATTGTACTAAGATACATGAAACTTGTGTAGAGGTACTTGGAATTTGTAAGACAATAATGACATCATAGATGTTACCTAATGTCATGTGTCTGTATCACATTTCTAACAACCAATTAAGATCCTATTATCTAACTACTATATACTATAATATAACTATGCTAATAACTAATAATAAATATAATATAAAATACAATAATAAATATATAACAACTACTAATAATATAATATACTATGCTATGCTAAAAATCTACTTTGTAACAATATTTTTTTAGTTTATCAGTTTTGTATAACAATTTTCTGAAGTTTATTATATGTGTAATAAATATTGGAAATTTATATATTATATCTATCAACAATGTTATGAAAGTGTTTTTTTAACAATAATCACTTTATATTTGGTAATAATACTATATACACAAATTGATACTTTTTTATTAGAAAGAGAACATGTAGACATTTATAAATCAATTTTTTGGATAATGATTTTTATTGTTTATTATAATGTAAGTTCCTGGCTTATACTGATGTATTTTAGAAGTATTTTTATGAATCTTTTTAATCTTGTCTATGCTGATTATAAATAAGTTATATTATATAACAAATCATGTCTATCTTAAAAATATAATTTAAATAATGAACACCAAGTATAAAGAAACAAAAATTATAAATAAATAATTCTATAATTCTAATTGAACGATATATTAATAAAAATTAAAAAAAATTATTATTATTGAGGTTACTCTTAATGAAACAACTTTAAAAACTAAATTAAACATATGTTCTCTAACTGCTGGTATTCTTATAAATTGTTTTAATAGTTCAGGTGTATATCTCTCAACAATATTGATAATAAGATCTTTTAACCAGTCAGATGTTGCATTAAATAATTTTGAAAACCAATGTATCTTGTAGCAATTAGATTCAGTTGATAAAACATTGTTTACTATAATTAATACATCAATATCTTTTTGTTTATCTTGAATCATTTTCTCAACTTCATGAAATATTTTGACTCATGTTTCTTTTAATTGTTTTATAGATTCCAAATAATCTTCTTTATTATCTTCTATGAGTTTGATAATATCATCAACATTGTCAAATAACTCTTTTATTTCATTCATAATGTGAAATCATATAAATGTATAACTCTTTTTATATTTTTTTTAGTAAAATAAAATGGGTAAAATTCTTAATGATAAACTAAAACAATTCGTAAAAAAATCAAAAACCAAACAAGAATTAATTGAAAAAATATTAGGACATAATTCTAATTATGCAATAACAAATCTTAATAATATAGAAAAACTTGCTGATATTATGTACAATGTTGATGAATCAAAAGTAAAAAAACATAGAAAAAGAAATGAGCAAGAGATAAAAGAAAAAAAACTAACAAAATATCAACAATTCATGAGAGATAATTATGAAGAAGTAGCATCACAATATGAAAATAGTATAGAAACAATGAAAGCAATTGCAGATATATAAAAAACAAGTCCTAAAAATCCAAAAAATGGATCTGAGTTTTTAGAAACTATATAAATATCTGAGTTCTCTCAATTTTTACAAAAAAATAAAATAGCAGATTACTTTGAATTGTATGAATAATATAGTAAATTCAAATTAAAAATTAATATCATAATTTCTTATTTATATATATTTCTTTTACAGTAATAGCTATTATCTATATGATATTTGTATTGCATATTAAATTTGTTAAAATTAATTTCAAGTTCATATCACATATCTTGTTATATTCAAACATTTTGGTGCAAGAAACATTTCATAACATAATTCTTTTTGTAAATTCATTTAGACAAAGTGGCATCCAGTAAGAAAAAACAGATCATAAAGAAAACTACTTGAAAAAACACTTCAATTACAAAAAGAAAATCTATCACAGCTGTTAAAAAAAGAACACAGATTACAAAATCAGTTACAAGTGTTAGAATGTATAAATCATGTAGTTGTAAAAATAAAAGATGCCAAGAGTAAAAAATAAAAAAGATAATAAAACAGTATACAATAAAACAAGTTCAAAAAAGAAAGTAAATCTGTCTTCATGTATTATCAAATACTGTTTTGATGAAGAAAAATTGAATAACTGTAAAGTAGCAAAACCAGCTGGAATACAAATTATTACAGAAGTATTTGGTCCTATTACAGAAAACAATAAAACATTTTTTGTAGAACCATTATATACAAGAATATTTCCACTTAGACTTTACCAAACAAAAACAAATTTTGCTTCTTTTGAACATATTATTCTACATAATATTTCAATTTATATTAATTTTGTAATTTTACAAAGTAAAAATCATACTCAAACTATTGAAATTCTAACAACTGAAAACAAAAACAGTAAAATTACTTTATTGATCTTCCTACTCAAAATTAAAAGCTTTATACTACAACTTTGTGATAAAGATCTTGCTTGTAAAAAATCTTCTAATATCTTGATTAGTGATTTATTGGTTGATAAAAATCTTTGTAAAATAAAATTTGACACAGAAAAGTTAAAGTTAAACTCGAATCTGAAATAACTATTGAATGTGATGCATGCAATTTTACAGAACATGAATTAATTATATGTTTAGACCTTAAAAAAATACTTGTTTGTCTTAAAAATAAATAAAGCAATACCGAATCAAGCTTTTTTGATAAAGAAAATTTCTTATTTGTAATATTTCTAGACTATATGGATTCTATATATAGTTTTAAAAAAAAAACTGTTCAAAATGAAAAAGATGCATATTTTATTAGGTAAAAAATATAATCTTAACACATTAAATTCGGGAATTTCTGAGTTTATGGCAGATGGTTATATTGAAATGACATGGAGTCCTCATTTGAGAGATGTAGATTTTAACAGAATAATGAGTCAAATAGGATATTGTTGTGATAGTAATAATAATATCAAACCAAAGTAATATATACAAAATAGTTTTTTATTTTATTATTATATTATTATTTCTTTTAAATAAATAAATTCTATAAATATATAAATACATGTTTTGTTATTTTTTGTCAATAAAAATAAAACAAAAAAAAATCTCTTCTGCTTATATGATCGATTATTGTAATAATAAAAACTTAAATCTATCATTATATTTAAAAAATTAAGATTCTGATGTAAATGTTGATGGATTTGAAGCATCTGAACCAAATGATGATGGTAGATTATATTACAAATCAATAGATGAAAGATACACATATATTCGAATGTTTTAACAAATAGATAAAAATTATCAAAATATTGAGTCATATAACATAGTCATATATTTGAGTTTAATTTTATATCATTGATTAAAAAGAACTGATATTGTAAATATACAAACAAACTCAACACAAACAGAAGTACTTACACCTGTTATATCAAATAAACTAAAATTAAAATTTTACTTTCTTGAGATTTGTGATAAAGAAATCGCAAAACAGAATAACTCACCTATAGGTGATGTATTTCTGAACAGAGATTTGTGTAATATACAATTTAGAGAATATTTTAATTTTGTAATAGAATTTGAATATGATATTAAATATAAAGAATGCCAATATGAACCACATGATTTTGTTTTTTGCTTAGATTTAGAAAAAACAAAAGTTTGTCAACTTGATAATAATGATTTAATAGTAGCTAAAATATTTAATATAGAAAACTATGCTTTTGTATTTGTAATTGATTATTTTAATTAGATGTACCAATTTAAAATGAAAAGTGGTAATGATGATGTGATAAAATTCAGAAAAACTTTCAATTCCTTAACTGATAATTGTGGTATGCCATTGATGTTTAGTTATTTAAAAATAAAATCTGCATAGAAACCTGATTTCAACTCTGGTAATCCGATGAGTAGTCTTTTTGATCTAATCCAAAAATGCTATGAACTGAAAAAACCTACAGAAGAAGAAAAGAAGGATGAGGGAGAAGAGATTGTTACAGATGATGAAGATGTTGATATATAATTTTATTTATTGTATTTGAATTAAAATTATATAAATAAACAAATTATTTAATATTTTTTCTTAAAAATAAAATTTCTTAAAATTTTTATTATTTTGTTACTTGTATAAATGTAGTTGTTGGGGCTCATACTAAAACTAAAACTAAATCTAAATCTAGAGCTAAATTCAAAGCCAAAAAATCAAGTTTCAGTACTTGTAAATGATTTTTTATTATTGCAACTACATACTTGGGATTTTAAAAAAAGAAAATATATACGAGTTTTGAATAAAAATGATAAAATGTGTAAAAGTTATCTTGGTGGTCTATATTGGCAAGCATTTCCTAAAGGTGAAATAGCAAGATATATATCAGTACATAAACCTAAAGAAGCTAATATAAAAAGACCAAGATCCTAAAATATTATTGTGTTTTTGTTAAACAAAAAAAAACAAAAAAAACAACAAAAAATAACTTATGAAATTTTTTTGTTGCTTCTCATTTATACAAGAATATATCATAACAATATAAATAATCAAACAATTCTTGTTATCAATTATAATAATAAGAAGCTCTTTGGATTTATTAATATGATAAATAAATCTATTATCAATACATTTATTACCTTTACCAATAAATTTAAACATTATAAAAGAACACTCATATATAATGAAAAATTTATTAATGATTTTGATATAGATTTTGAAAAATTTGATATAGGAATAACAGGTCATATTAACTTTATTTATTATTTGCTTAAACAATATTTGTAATATTTATTTTATTTATTTTAAATAAAACATAAAATACTTTTTTTAATAAACAAAAAAAACTATAATTTATTTTACAAACTTAGATTATCAAGTTTTTAATACTAATAAGTTCCTCACTAACTTTAACCACTCAGTCTATTTTTTGTTCAAATGTTTTATTTTTGTTAAAAATTACTTCAAAGTTTATTAATGCTTGTTCAATTTTATTAATCTAAATAAATAAAAAATAAATAAAAAAATAATAAAAATAATTAAAAAAAAAGAAAAATGTATATCATATTTTGATTAGATTATTGATTGTTTAATTTTTTAGCAATATATTTAGCAGTTTTTCGAAGTTGAGAAGTTAAATTATCAGAATAACCTGTAATTGCAAGCCCTTTTTAACATTATCATGAGAATATATTGTTAATTCTTTTTCATTAGGATAATGACTACATATTCTATTTAGAGCAACATTAATATGAAGACTGAAATTAAAAAAATTATATTTTTTTTTTCATACTTATTTATAAATCTAACATTTTTTTTTATATTATATAATTTAATTTAGAGTTATAGATATATAGATAACTACATATCTATAACTCTAAATTAAGTAATTTATTAAAAATAATATTTAAAAACTTTAATAATTAATTATACTGTATATTAAAAACTAGGTTTATATGTATAGAACATAAAGGCTCTAGTAAGTTTCCTGT